GCTTTGTTTACAATAGCAAGGAGTTGGAAGCAACCTAAATGCCCATCAGCAAATGAATGGGTAGAGAAGGTGTGGTATATTCACACAATGGAATACTATGCTGCATTGGAATAGTCCTTTCTAATAACATGTCCAAACGTGCGAAACGAATTCCTCCCCATCCTTGTCTCCACAGTACATTCTGGCTGTATTCTCCTAAAACAGATTCATTCTTCTGGCCGTCATGTTCAATATTCTTTGCCCAAACCATCATTCAAATGCAGGAATTCTTCTTCAGTTGGTTTTTTTTTTCCTTTCTTCTTCTTTAGTATTCTTACTCATTGTCCAGCTTTCACTGCGTAGGAGGCAGTTGAAAAATCCCCGAGTGGGCTTAGAGCACCTCCATCGTTCATATGCCATTTGAATACTTTGAAGGGGTCTTCACAGCTCATGTGCTCAGTACAGTGCGGTTTCTGTTCTGCTTCGTCCGTGCGTCTGGATTGTGGACTGAAGGAAAATGAAATCTTTAATAACATCAGTATTTTCTCTGCTCATTGTGTGCTATGTACTGAACAGTAGTAATTCAACCGCTTTTCTTTTTATATGCCTATGAGAAACGCTAAATCTGTTTAAAAATAGACACTTGCCGGTAGTCTTCCTTCTAATAAAGGTAACTTTCCTCTCCTTTAGCAAGATCAGCGTTGGACCCCGCTGCCCGTGGTAAGCACTGCATCTCGATATTTTCGTAGATTTATTCTGTTTTGTCTTAGGCAGATGAGAGTCTCTATTCTAGCAATGTGCACGGGGCGGTCTGTGCCAGAGCTGATTTACAGATTACTTTTCATGTTCTAAGAATTCTACTTGATACAAATACTATGTCAGGAATCTTAGAGTTTGTTTATAATGAGTATTTGGTCTGACTAGCGTTTTATCTTTCTGAGAAAGATGTGACAGTCCACATGCATAAGGAGTGACATCCTTAGGAACCGTGTGGGGTGGCTCACTGAATTGGAGTCGACTGGGCTTTTGTGGGCTCGCTTTTAGTGGGTAGCACTTTTTCGCTCTAGTATTATATGTATAGAAAGACAGAGAGGAGTCAAAGAGTTCCTGGGTGGATTTTGTACTTGGCAGATACTCAGTGATATATTACTTTTTTTTTCCTGATTAATGTATGAGGTATATGTTTATTGGATGTATTTGAGCTGGAAATAGAGAGTAATTCAAAACTTCTCCTAGTCTTGAAGTTCAAAGGGTATTGAGAAAGAATTTACCTAGGGAAGGTGATAACTCGGTCCATTAACTTATGACAATAATTCCCTTGTGTCTTATAGGGTTTTTTTTGTTTATTTTGTTGGTTGATTGGTTTATTTTTTCCCTTTTGAGACTCTTTGAAACCAATAGTTGGGTAGGGGGATTTCCGTCATATATTTTAAGCTCTGTTTATCTGAATGCTTTACATAATACCCTTTGTGGTTTGAGAGTTGAAATAAGTGGATTCCAGAGCTTATTAACATTATTTGCCAAATAATATCCTCTGTTCTTTCCTCCAAAGCTACTAAGCCACCCAGATACAAATGTGGCATCTCAAAAGCTTGCCCTGAGAAGCACTTTGCTTTCAAAATGGCGAGTGGAGCAGCCAACGTGGTGGGCCCCAAAATTTGTGTGGAAGACAATGTGTGAGTATTCGTCCTTTGGGGGTTCTGATGTGTGCTGCTACATTTAATGGAATTTTAGCAAATGGATTAGGAGTGTTTGCACTAAATCAAAGTGATTTCTCTTTTTTGTGTGTGACTCCTTCTAACGTACTATAGTCAAGAACTTCCTAAGTGCTTAGATTTCATCTGGGTGACAGGAGAACACAGCATCTATCCAGATTGACACAGAAGATGAACTTTTACAACTCTCACCTGCAAAGTGGGTGGTGGTTTAGAACAGTCAGTCTCACACTGTCTGGTCTCGTGTGATCTGTTATGATAGCGGCTGGGCACATGCAGCTATTTCATTTTGATGACTAAATAACAGGGGGAAGCTGAGTTCATTTGAATGAAGGTAACACGTACAGTTCCTCGGTCCTGTTAGGCCTCATTTTAAGTCCTCAAGCCGCATGTGCCTCGCGCCTGCAGAACTGATCAGAAAGGGCACCGTTTCCTCATTGCAAAGGATCCTGTTCCCACCACCCTGGAAAATGAGAACTTGGTCTTACAGACCAACATTTTTCTTTTCCAACCTTTGTATGCTGTTTATTGAAGCGGAAAATGGTCCAGTGATGGCCTTAGAATGCTTTCCACTGAACTGAGTGGTTTTCCTGTATTAAACGTTCTACAGAGGATGATTTTGGGGGGTTTTCCATTCTGCCCCCTCAGTGTCAAACTGTCATATGTAATTCAGAATTTCCACCTAGGAAGTTTGCAAAACCAATAAATTCTGCAGAACCTCCAGTTGCCTCCAGAATTAGATATGGGAGATTATTTAAGCAGTCCTCGTCGTACAGTGGATTAAGCATGTGGCAGTTAACTTATAGACTGAATATTCTAACCCACCATCCACTTTGCAAGAGTTGTAATAGAATACTTGTTTAGAATCATGTAGAATAATACAGGCCATGGTCTTTACAATCACTTACTATGCATCAGAGAGCTGGACAATGACTAGAGAGGATAGAAGGAAAATTGATGCCTTTAAGCTGTGGTGTTGGAGAAGAGTCTTGAATATACTATGGACTGCTAAGAAAATGAACATGTTCAACCAGGAGAGGGTTAAACCTGGCTGCTCCTTGGAGGCAAGGATTCTGAGGCTTCGTCTGACATACTTGGGACATGCTGCAAGGAGGGACCGGTCCTTGGAGAGGGACATCATGCTTGGGAGGGTGGAGGGACAGCGCAGGAGGGGAAGGCCCTCTATGAGGTGGATTGATTTGGTGACTGGGGTAATCGGGATGGGTGTATCGGAGACAGTGTGATTGGCACAGGACAGAGCGTGGTTTAGGGATGTTATACATAGGGTCGCTATGAGTTGCAAGCGACTTGACAGCAACAACAACAGAATTATAAATTATGATGTTAACTAAGTAAAGAGAAGCTCTGGTGGTCTGGCAAGTAAAAGGTTATGCTGCCAACCCAAAGATATGCGGTTTGAAGCTACCGTGTGCTCTGCAGATCTGCTAGAGAGTCAACTATGAGTGGGTTCCAACTTGATGGCCCATAAAAACAAGTCATGGAGACGTTGTTATGTTCCAGAGTCGGAACCAGCTCCGAGCTAACCCTCCTGTGGGATTTCAGAGGCAGTAAATCACACAAGCATTGATTGTCCATCTTTCTCCCACAGAACAGCTTGGAGCATTTGAATCTTACACATTGGCTGACAGCGCAGCTCCTTCCCACTAAGACACCAGCGCTCCCTTTGTGTAGACTAGAGAGAGATGTTACAGAGAAGGCAGGCTAAGCGTTTCTCCCAGCCGTATGCTGTTTAATTGTGGTTGAAACATGCATACCCAATCATTTGCCACTTGAAGAATTTTCACTTGTGCTCTGAGGTGTTGATTATGGTCAGCATGTTACACAGCCGCTATCCTTTTCTAAATCCCTCAACCACCTTTAACACCGTTGCCTCGGAAGCAGTCTGTGTGCCTTTTCTTTTTTAATGTAGCATCTCTTCAGTTGAACTCTTGCCTCTTTTGCAGTTAGCTGTGAGGTGGTCTTGAAGCTACATTTTTCTTGCTAAACTAAAGTCTTTGGCTCGAGTTTTAAAGGTCCCTACCCACTTCTTTCCTTTTCTCCGATAGTGACAGCCCATTGCTTATAGCCAGTTTTTTCTGTTTTCTTACTATATTAGTCCTATTTTGTGGAATTGTATGATATTCTCTTTTAGAAAGTTACAGATTTTAAATTAGGGTAAATATTAATCTATACATTAATCTCAGGCATCCCCCAGCCACTCTTTCCATCTTGGCTGGTTAAAGGGGTCCTAAGTTTGATTCTAAATAATAGGGAAGGCGATCCTTCAAAATGCTTGACTTGAAATGAACACTCCTTGACTATACTCAGCCTCCTTGAAGCATCAAGAAGATGACATTAATCTAGTAGTAGTAGGTTTTCTAATCACAGGTGATGTAAGTCAAAAGGAAAGAAATGAAAGGAAGATAAAAAGGAATAGGTAGCCATCTTGTTGTTATGTGCCATTGAATTGTTTGCAACTCATAACGACCCTGTGTACAGTAGCTCTGAACCCTGCTCTATCTTGAGGCAACCTCATTGTCTCTGACACACCTACCCCCGTAACCCCAGTCACTGAGTCAATCCATCTCATCAAGGGTCTTCCTCTCTTGCGCTGTCCCTGTACCCTTCCAAGCGAGTATTTGTTGAGCCTAATCTCTATTTTCATGGCACTTCTACTCTAGTAGGAATGAGAGATATTTAAAAAGTAGATGTCCACAAGCTCGGCACATCAGCAAACACGGGGAGTTGGGAGGTGGCTAGGGACGTGAGATGGGCCGAGTTTTCTAAAAAAGTGATCTTTAGTCAGAGAAGTGAAGGCTGAGGAGGAGGGTTGCCAAGTAGCCAGAGAGGGGTACATTCTAGAAAGAAGGAGGAGCCTGCAAGAGCCCCTGAAGATGAAGAGGAGCTGAGGAGAAGTGATTATAAAGGGACAGACTTCTCAGGATCAGCTACTTAAAGGCAGAGCTTATTTTTACTGCATTCATTGAGAAGTTAAAAGTTTTCACACTCCGGTATACTGTATACTGTGGTTTTATTTAGAGTAGGAATGTTGGCTGTTGTTGTACACACTGTTAGGTCAGAAACGACTCATAGCTGACTCTCCAGCAAGTTGTTCAAAGACTGTAAATCACACAGGAGAGGAGATAGATAGCTCATCTTTCTCCTTAAAAAGAAAGCTGGTGGATTTGAACTGTGTGCCTTTGGCTTGGCAATGCAGTTCTGTATCATTGGGCCGCCAGAGAGACCCTAACACCTGCCTGCCATGTTAAGTGATTGAAGGAATAAGGAGAACAGTTGGAAGATCCCTTTGATCTGCCTCTTTCCGATAAGATACTTTTTGCACGTTTACTCGCCAAAACATAGAACTTTTCGTGTTTTTTCACATGGTGTCTGAGTATGTGCAGCTTGCTTTGGAGATCTTCCTGCATCAGTTCTCAGTGTGGGTGATGGTTTTGGCCCTCGTGACATTTTGGAATGCCGGAGACAGTGGAGTGTCACTAATGTCCAGGCTGCTATGGACCCTGCAAGGCACACATAGCTCCTTATGACAAACCCCATGTCATGTTCTTGATATTATAGTGGGCCAGGTTTGAGGACCTGATAGAGACAGAGGGTGATAGTTTAGATCAGGATCACGGCCTTGGATTTACAGAAAAGTAAATTGCGTGGATCACCTCCAGTTGGTAGGCCAGGCAGATGGCCTTACGGAGGTTAAGGCAGATTTTTATTAGGTAGAAAATTCAAGGTATAAAAGTCAGGTGTTTTAAATAATAATAGTATCCCTCTTTTTTCTTTATATCAGAGGATGTTTTCTTTGCAATAGCTTTGTTTATGTTGAAATTATCATGATCAATTTTAGGTATATACTTATTTAGACTTTAGGAATAATCACCTTTTAAGACTAAATTGCATATTTTTTATTATAATCTGAATATTTGATACAGAAGTATGGAGGAGACTGTCCTGGAGATTTGTTTGTATAACAAAGGGCTCCCAGATTTTTCTTTAGGGGCAGATAATAACGACCTTAGGCTATGAGGGCTAAGAGGCAGCATCAAGGCTATTATTATATGAAAATTCATATTATTTAAAATATAACCCTTTAAAAAATGTAAAAAACCATTCCTAAGCTTAAGAGTATCTAACAGAAAACTACAACAAAACAAAAACTTACCAAATTTAAAAAGGAAAATCTCATTTGTCTAATTTGACAAATTCTCAAATAAACTAACTTGAGGAGTGTTATAGAAAGCTCTGGTTCTGGTGACCTGCTGGTAAGGAGTCCTATTGTCCTTTAAAGGTTCTCAACTGGAATCCACCAGCCCCTCCCCAGGAGAAAGATGGGCAGTCTCCTCCCATGAGGTTTATGGCCTCTGAACACCTGCTGGAGGTCCAGCTAGGACTCTCTTCTGATTTGATGGTACCTAACACGGTCATTACAAAGACAGAAGAGAAAGAAAAGACCAAAATGGATGTCAGAAGAAACTCTGAAGATTGCACTGGAGAGTAGAGAAGCCAAAGCACAAGGAAGAATTCAAGATACTAAAGAGCTGAACAGAAGATTCCAAAAGGCTGCTCGGAAT